TTTTTTTTTTTTGCTGGAAAGTCACAGTGAGTTTGGATTCAATCAAGTTATGCTGTTTTGGATTCCTGCCCTCTTTACATAAATCTCCTACAAACTTTGGAATTTATTTATTATGTTATTGCCTATTCATCTAATTCAGAGAAATCATTTCTAAATTCTTCACAATTTGCTCTGCTTTTCATTATGCCCAGTATTTCAAGAACATCTACAAGTCTGGCTTACCTATAGATTATCACATCACATCATGCAATTAACATACATGAAGTAATAAGTGTCTTGAAGATAGTGTTGCTACTTCCTGTTTATGAGTGAAGCAAGCAAGACTTCTTAAATTGTGTGTTATCTTGAAGTCACACAAATCAAGGCACTTTGAAAACTCTGTTTATTTCCATACATTATGACCTTCTGTCTTATTCATGTACTGACAGTATAATTGGCCAATTATATTGGCTAACTGCCAGAAACATTCTCTCTCTGGTTGTCAGCAAGTCTTCTCTCACAGAGAGTAGACTGTGGCTTGTAAATGCTTCTTCCTTTTCATTTAGAAGGGAGAAGAGAAATTGTGATCTGTGGTCACCCAAAGTTTTTCAGTCATTGGCTTAAGTTCTATCTCAGTCAGAGGAAATGACAACAGAAGCCTTTTAGGAGGGAACTTGATTTCCTATCCAAAATGGTTGGAAGAACCTCCTCCTTTGATTAGAACAGGAGATTTATACTGTATTCCCAGTCTTCCAATCAGAAAGTGCTTCTGGATACCTATAAATTTAGCCATCCCTTTGGGTGTAACCACTCAAAACTATGTCTCCTCCTGCTATCTAAATAAAAGCAAAGACACACACATAAAACCAAGCCTAGACATGGAGTACAGAATTTCAAAGGCCTAGCCTAATAAACATATATATGTTTGTTTGCAGAAATAAGCAATATTTTCTGACAAATAAAATGTTTCCTAGTTTAGGAACTTTCAACAAGGTGAGTCACAAGTATTTGGAACAATACTTGGACAAGGAACAATAAATAAAATGTTTGGACTTTGGACAAGGAACAATAAATAACATGTTTCCTAGTTCAGGAGTTTCAACAAGGTGAGTGACAAGTATTTCACTACTTCCTTGCTCACTAGTCTCCATTTTTTCCTTCAAAAATATAACAGTGCAACTTCAGTCATCATAGTTATTACTACTGTGGAAATGAAAACCAAATGAGGACATGATTGAGATAACGGTGGAGCAAGGTGAGAAAGAAGTGCACTTGCTGACCAAACCATGATTTGCTAATTGGGCTCCAGAGATGCCTCAAGCAATCCAATACATTGTAAACAACAGCATTAGGAGGAATCTTGAAAACCTCCATGGTGTGAATGTCTCTGTTTGGTGAATAACTTTGGAGGCATTCTCTAAAATATAGCCAGTGATGTTAAGACAGGCAAGAGGTGCATCAGTCCCAATTTCTTGAAGTAACCTGGATTTAAAGCAGCCTAAGCTCTCTCATTTGCAAGCACACAGAATAAGCTCCACTGCGTCAAGGCAAAGACCATGTCTATTCAACGGCAGGAGACGCAGCCATGTGCAGCTAGAAGCCCCACACCATGCTACCTGTCTGAGGGAATCAGACGAGGGAGAAGCGGGGCGGCTGGAAGAGCGGAGGCTACGGGAGAGCTCCCACTGCTCGACAACCGATCGACGAGCTCGCTCAGTCTCTGGCTACAAAATAAAGGTGAGAAAGTCAGGCGATGGCACATTCAAGAGCCACGTGAAAATCTTCCTTGCAAGTGAAATCCATCCGAAGTTCAATGTATCAGATGTTTTGGGGGGGAAATAAAGGAGACCAAGTGCTAGTGTCACCCGGGGGCCCTTCCTGACATTTTTTGTTCAAATTCTGAAAATGAAGATCTATCCAAATTGATGAGGGTTGGGGGCTTTGGAGATTTTTAAGCTACACAGTAGGCAACAATTGCCCTGAATAACACCTGGGAAATCTTCCTGAAAAGTTTAGAGAGTAGTATATCCTTTGGTAGAAATAAATAGAAATATTCCGGATATGAAACACAAATACTAACTGAAAGATTTGGTTTTTTTAAAAGATTTTTTAAAAAATTATTGCAAGAGGGTAAAAAGTTGCTGACTGGAATATATCAAAAGAGAAGATTGTTTTTTATGCCATCAGGATTAATTTGTGGTTTGACCCAATGAGCCAAAACTGATAGCTGAATGGACAGAATTTGACACTGCAGCAGTTTACATGAGACTAGAAAGTATATTCTAGCCTTCCTGGATCTGTCACTCTCTGTATTGTGTTTAGACAGCAAATGTCAGACTTCCCAGACATTGTGGCCTTTGGAATTCTAGGATTTGCAGTCTCAACACATTCGGAGGGTGTGTTGAGAATTGTTTCAGAATATATTCTAATTTTCAAGGGATAATATATGACTGAATTCCTGACCCTGAGAATCAGATTAATGAAGCAGAGCACATGCAGAATTTGGCATGTTCTTTCTTTCTGAGACATATTTTTAAATTTGGATTTAAACCCTGTGATGGGTTAGGCTACTTTCAGATTTCTTGTGTTCAGCTACTTTTAAAGAAGCTAATTTTACAGAGGCATGGTCCCTCAAACCCAATAAATACTTGCAGACATTATTCTGCTCCAGATAGGCCAAGCAATGCCCTGCTAATACTGGTTGAATCTGTTTCAGTCTCTGAAAAATGCAGTCCTAATTCTGTGGAGGTACAAAACGTACTATTGACCAAGAATCCTTTTTACTTAAGTTGCTTCCTTCCCATATAAGCCACATCCCATTCTTTAGTGCCAGAAGCATCTATTGAAATACTGATTCCGCAAGTGGGAACGTTTGTTAGAAAAAGGGGGATCACAGGCAGGGTTTTTTTGGCAGGCTCAGCACAGAAGAATGCGTTCTCTTACAATGTGAGTGTGTAGCGATCAGCCATTAATACGTGGCATCTGAAGCCTGCCACATTAGAGCTGAAGCAACTTTTCATTTTCCTTTCTATGGAACAGCAAGCAAACAAACCACCAGACAAGCAGGAAATCCATCACCTGGTGCCTGGTTGTTGGCCTCTGCTCCAGGAGGGCAGCCAGCTGGCTTGCCCTTTGTTCAATGGTGAGGGTATGCTCTGCCATATGGTCATCTGAAAAGAACTGATGAGGCCTCTGCAGAACAACGAAGGAAGACAATGACCAGTGGAAATAATATGCACAGGAAAAAAATAGAGCTGGAAGCACAGAAGCCAAGCTGACAGGTGTCAGTGCCAGATAGCTCAACGATATGAGGTTTAAGGGAGCTCTAATATTCTTCTGGAATGGAAGTGATTTCCCTCCATAGGTGGGACCAGAACTTGTCCTAAGCCATTTAGAGCAGCCCAATCCTATCGTGTCTACTGTTGAAGACCTACTGGTTTCAGGGGGTTGAAAGCACGTGCGGAATTCTGAACTGTGCACCTCACAGTGGCATGACACAAAACATGCTTTCATGTCTATCCAAACCCTATGATGCAGAATGAAAGATTAGGCTGGGCAGCGCAAATTCCGGGGAAAGGAAGGTCTCCTCTGAAGTACTGAAGAGAGAAGTATTGGGCTCCTGTGTGCTCTGAAGGATCTTTTGCAAACTGAATCCAAAATGCTGCATAGTGCTGTGAGAGTTACAAATAGAGGACAGAAAGGCCACTGCAATCTAGGGGGTATGTGAAAGAGAAAGGATATACTTTATTTCTTCTCTTACTCCAACTTTGCGTCCCAAATTTCAGCAGACATATAGTAAGTCTGATAGCATAGAAGGGGGATTATACTAAATGCACCATTTATGCCAGAAGAAGTTCCTTCTGCTCCACCACAACATTTCCTATTCCAAAGAAAACAGGGGTTCCAAATCTGCAGTGGGCTACGTGCTAATCTGAAAAAGCATACTGCATACTCTTAAAGGTGGGCCAGAGCCCTTTCAAGCAAGCACTTTTGTAAACACTATATACCCAGAGAATTATTAATTTTGGAAAGATGTTCAGCAGAGCTGCGCTGAGATTATTAGCATCACCAGCACACAGATGAATGTACAACCATCCTCCCCCATCCCCGCCAGCTGACATAGGGCTTCTCCAACTCATGCTTGCTTTGTTCATGCTGTTTTACCCATCGATGGCTGGGACTCTGTTCTCCAGGTGGATCTGCCTGAGGGTCTCTGATGGTCTGCAGGCAAAAGAGTTACCTTAACAACCCCCCCAGACACACAAAAGACAGCACAGTTTAATTAGGATCACCCTAAAAGAGAAAAATATTAGAAGTCCAGAAATATTTTGATTTTGGCAAAGATCATGCCAGAATATGGAGAATATACTTATCTAATTTTGTGTGACGTGGTTAAAAATAACACTCTAGACAAACTGTATTAGTAAATGGTGACATAACACTGCATATTCACACAGTAATAAAAGAGGTGCAGGAAAAAGAGAGAGTTTCCAAGAAATGATCAAGTTAGTGCATTAAAATCTGCCTTGTTTTAGAAATAATTTGGGGAGTTACACATAAACAGTCTGGCTAATTAAAACCAGATAAATCTATTATGCTGCAGTTTTAAAAAATACTATGTTATTTTGAAAAGACTGATCTCTCCTTAACAAAACAAGTAATAAGGCTTCTGGACCAACTATACTCTTATTTCCATCTGCAGGGACCATAATCTATCCTGCCTTAAGAAATCTAGACATCTATTGTAACAAAATGGAATTTCATTTTGACAGAACGATTGACTATGTGCCATCAAGTCATTGTCGACTGTTAGCAACCACACAGATAGATTTTCTCTTATGATGACAAAACTATAGATTCACCTATCTACAATTTTGTCA